CTAAGCTACCTGGTAACAGGGAAACCGCTTTGGAGTTGCACTCTGAAACGTCTTAATCTATTGTTCACAGACCACCTTTATGGTGACGTGGAAGTTTTGAAAACTGAAGTTTGAACACAATTTCTATTATTTTATTTCTTGACAAGGTGGTGTTGTGTTACTGTTTAAATAAAAGCTTTAAATAAAGATGTGTAGGTAGGGTCGCATATTTCTATTCTACATTTGTTAAATGGTATTTTCTTCATTTTTTGCTCAGCAAAAATTGCTTAAGTATATATTCAGAAAGGCAGAAATGAAAGCCTAGATTCTGCAATATTGAGCAATCACTTTGAAGAACAAGTCACTTCTTTTCTTAAGCTTTCACTGGAGCAGTGGTAAAATTGGCTTACCCTGTAAAGAACACTAAATAAAATAGAATTTACTCCTACAAATTATTTCTGGTTATCACAGAATCACAGAATGGTTGAGGTTGGAAGGGACCTCTGGAGATCATCTAGTCCAACCTCCCTGCTCAAGCAGGGTCCTCTAGAGCATATTGCCCAGGATCACAATGATGTTATGCTAACATCAGATATTTATTTACATATAGAACAGGGCCAAACACTGAAACAGATGTCTGAAATATTTTTAAAACCATTTATATGCCCTAGGAAATTCTAATGAGTTTTGTATGAAAAACGTGTCTGTGGATAAATAAGCTTTTTGTTTGTTTACACTTGTTTTGTTTAAAAAAAAATCTGTTGAATTCATCCTTAAAACATTAAGGCTGAAAAATGGAGAGGTTGGGATGAAAGGGTTAACTGCGGCATTTGTCTGAAATGTATCTAGGTTGGGTTGTCTGTTCAGGGGGTTGCTTGGCATTTAGGAGGAAAGCTATTCTTTGGTTCAGGTATGAAAATATGTGATACTTCATATCAATTATTTGGCTGATTGCTGAAAAGTACATTGCAATGAGGGGGCATTGGCTAGTTCTGGCCTTCACTAATGGGAGCATTGCAAAATGTGGATAAGTAATTAAAGTATAGAATGTGGAAAATTAGGCCAAAATTGAATAGAAATGAGTAAGTGTGCGTTCTGTTATACAGATGTTGGAAACAGATTATTTGGGATGCCTCTTTCTTATCTACATCTCATTTGGTTACCATGCAAAAATCAGTCATATACCATGGAGATTGTTTCTCTTCCCATTGCCTTTTCTGTTTTTATGTTGTGATGTAGCTGTATAGGTAGTAATTTAGCAAAATATCCTGTCTGCCAGGTGTGGGAACTAGCTGATTGTATTGTAATACCAGATCATTACTTAATTCATATGCAACCTAGCCTAGCACATGGAAAGCATTATAAATCTATTTACAGTGTGGCTGGTCTGATGATAACATTGTATTAAATTCCCAGGTGAGGCAATTTAAGCAATTGCTTTGCCATGTGTAGGCCATGGAAATTAACTTCTCGTGTGCTTTAGTAATAGACGAACTTCATTGTTATGCTCAGATTAGTAGTATAGCAGAATTCTTAGTCTGGTTACATGTACCCTGCTTCACATGTAGAATCATACAGGGGGGTGGTACTGCAGATCACAGTTCTTAATTAGTTTAAGCTGAGTTAATTCATTTCAATTCTAATTTAGCTGTGCTTGCCCATGAACACATTCAGTTCTATTGGGAAATGTTAAGGCTTGGGTCAAGTAGACAGATTGTTTAAAGCCAAATTGCCAGACAGAACTGAGCAAGTGTATCTGTTTGAACAGGGCTTTAAGAAAATCACCCAATCAGTATGCAAAAATCCTGTTCATAAACCAAGTGAGATCTGCCTGGAATCAGAAATGCTTCCTTGTCAGAAGGTCTGGGTACCGTAGTACATTTAAAGCAGCTCCTGAAACTTTCTGTCTTGAAGTTGTCACGGAAAGCAGCTTAACCCTTGTGTGTATTTGTGTCTTCCTGCGTCTAGTACATTCGAATGCAAACATGTCTACTGAGTTAAAAGCGCTTGTGTGCTTAGGACACTTTGTGTATGCGAGGTGCAAGAAAAAACAAAATACAAGATAAACTTCCATATATGACAGACCTTTAGAGACGAAAAGCTGCATATGGAAGCTCTCAAACCTATATTGAGCTGCCCAGAAAATGCATTGGATTGCAAACTCTGTAAAGCTTCTGTCTTTTCTAGAAACATACATATAAAGTACCAGTAGACAGTGGTAACTGACAACTAAGACTAAAAATGTTGACAATTTCTTGATTTGCCTGGTTAGCTTATGTATAGAAGTCATTAACTATTTATAAAATGCATTATGAATTGGGTTCCTTCAAACTGTAGCAGTGTATGTGACATTTCCAGCTCAAACTATCATTCTTGCACTTGGCTAAAGTACATATTTATAAACAGCTGATAGTTATGAACTCAGAAAAAAAATCTAAAAAAATTAATTGTTAAATTCAAATGAACTGTTTTGTTATCACTAATTTTGATAGCTGCATTTGAAAGTGTTAGCAATGTTACTTTAATAAAAATAAGGATAGTAATTGAAGATACAAATATATTGATATTTTGGACAAATCCTGAAAGAACAAACGAACATTTTAGTTCAAAGGCCTTTCCTTTTATATTATTGATTCGTTTGGTGGTGAAACTGTGATCAAAAGTAGTATCAAATTATTTATTGATTATGGCAAAGAGTTACATCTAATTGTAGTCAAAGGGTTATTTCTTTTAATATAATTGCTGATTTTCAAATCCTGACAGATCATTGCAGTAAAAGAACAATGATACAAGTATATTTATTAAGTTCAGTGATGTTGATATAAAGGGTTATAAAGAGCCTTTAAAAATTGTATTGCTGTTAACATTTATTTCTTTCCCATGAAGAATATTCTTATTCTTTTTCTTGCATGCAGTCTCTTATGAATGAAAATATCAGCCAGTTAAAGCTTTCAAGTAAATGATGTGTAACCAAGGACCGTCTGAGTCTCTACATATAATTAGACAACTTGTTCACTGAAGAACAAGCTCATAGAGCATTGTGTTCCCCATTTCAGTCTAATAATGACAAATATGTTTAACACTACCAAAATCAATGCCACTGAGTTGTTTTGTGAAATGGAGAGAGACTGTACGGTTAAACTGCTGGACCTCAAAAGGGGAGACTGGATCTTAATTGGAAAAAAAAAAAAAGGATTAGATATTTATTGGCATGTATTTGTAATTTCTTCCCTTGCTTGATGTTTATCAAATAAAAATAGGAAAACAATATAAGTGAGCAATCTATGCCAATTTGTTGGCTTTTTGGTGAAAAAAGAGAAAAACAAAACCTATCTCCATATGATATTCTTGCATACTGTGGAGTGTTTTAGTCCCCCATAGTGATGAAATGAATAATTTAAACAGGCAGCTCTGATACCACAGCCTGTTTAAAGGTTCTCATTTCCTTTAATGCTGTCGACTACTTTTGCTTGGTTAGTATGAAAGTGCGACAGCTGAGATCTCCAAAAGATTTGGCACAATTCAGCTCTTGTAGTAGGTCCATGGTATGCTTTGTCCTTGCTACGTACATCTGTAGCTTTAGTATATAATCTGGTACTGAACACTAGCAACTGAATCACGTATTGGTAAGCATTATAACAGTGATGATGGTAATAAAGGGCATCCTTGAATTATAGTGGATAGAAAGCTGAATTATGTTGCTCTGAGATGAGCAGTACTAAGCTAACCCAACTGCTAGTTTTCTAGTGGAAGTGCTGACCTACTTTCAAGCCTATTCACCACAAAGGTAATGAATTTCCCGGCGCTCAGTGTAATTTCTAGTGAGCTGTTTTCTGTGTCCCAGTCCCAGACACATTTTTTGGCATGATTGTCCACTTAGGGAAGGTTTGAGGAAGGTTTTGTTTTTGCTGACTTCCCACTATTGGTTACCACCATGACACAGCTGGGAGGGCTATTCCAATCAGTAAAGAAAGGCCTTACTCCTGGTTCTTGCTGCTCTTGGGTTTCTTCCTCTTATGAAGAATAAAACCGATCGCAACCACGCTCAAATAAAGAGATTTTAAACAAAATGCTAAAAATCCTTTCTCTCTTTTAATGGTGAACGTAGAAGAGTTACCTGGCTAAGAACCGGTTATTTGGCCAACACAGAAACTGCAAGCTGAACTACCGTTCTGTTTATGGGTTCCCTGTTGTCCTGTTGAACACTGTGCTACCTGGGTAATCTTCAGTCACTTCCCTTCAGTTATTCAGCACCTGATCTAGCTTAGGATCAGTACGATGAACAGCTCTGAGAAAATCTGGTGCTCATAAACTATGAATAATGACTGTCTCTTATAAGAATCTGAGGTGTGACTGTCTTTCACAGTTTTGTGCTGTTTCCGTAAACTGCTGTAAATTAATGTTTCACTGTACCGTCGTTCTTTCCCCTTTCTTTTCCACTTTGATTTCTGGTCCTTTCGCTGTAGGCCTTTATAGCCTGAACAGCAAAGGAAAGACTTGTTTATTTTCTTCATATGTAATTTTAAGTTTTGTCAAATGGGTGTTGTTCAATGTCATCTTTTTGATAGCTCAGTCTTCCTTTCCTGTTTAATGGCATCACTGCAGTGTTCGTCTGAGTTCTCAGCCCACCTAGCAAGTGTTCTTCAGATAAATGCATTTGTCCTGCACATACATTTCTTCAGTGCTTCTGGTGTTGGTGTATATAGCCTCTTAAGATTACGTACTTAGCAGACCGGAGATCATGTTATGTATCTTGAGCTTTATTTAGGCTGCTTTCATTGATGAAATGTTGAGGATGTGACTGTCTTAGAAATCACATCAGACGCACTAAGGTATTACTGTGATGATTTGTCAAAATATGGCAGTTGAAGAACTTTTTAATAACTTTTGCTTGCAGTTTTTTTTTTTTTTTTAATCAAATAGGTATCCATTAGGGGGCTCTCGAGGTTTAAGATGATCAGCCTTGATACCAATGGCTTCGGAGCTTTACTTCCTAACCCTTTCTTCTTTTTGTTTTACAGAAAAGGTCACGGATCGCCTACAGTGATGAGGTGCGGAATGAGCTCCTAGGGGATGACGGGAATTCCTCAGAGAACCAGGTAGGATGCTAATCAAGAAGCCCTAGTGGGTGGCTGGAGGGTGAAGGAGGTCACTGGCACACTGGGCTTCTCAAGCTGCTCCTTAACAGCATTAGCAACAACTCATGTGGAAGTGATACTGTTTAATGCAAAGCTGGGGTCTTAATCAACTTCAAAATGTTTCTTGGAGATCTTACATTTAACCCTTTAACTTGTGATCACTGTCTGCTATCTTAAAAAAAATCTTTTCTTCTTTTTTCTTTATTATTTAGTACTTAAGAAATAACTTGAAACGCGCTGTTTGCCGACAAAGCCAAGGTCTTCACCTCAAACACATGTAAAAGGAATGAAAAAAGTACATAATGCAGCTTTGATAATAGTGCAGTATAATTAAATCAACACTGGCAGGCAAAACAAATGAAAGTGCACTCTTAGAATTAGGCAGTTCCCCACTCAGTTTCCTTGTGATTCCTTTCCTAAACAGATTTTCTCCCCTTGTACCAAAAACACAAGTTGTACTAATAAAAGTAAGCTTTCGTAACGCGTGTTGTACTAGAATGTACAGTGCTATCCACCTCTTTTAATGAAGGAAAGCCTGGTAAACCTGAGACTTTTTTAAAATTGATATCTGTATTGTGCTGGACATTACAGTGAGCATCCTACTGGACTACTGAAAATTATAAAGGGAACATTATATCTAGGGGACTTTGACCTGTTAGTATTTTTTTTGGTGCTGAAACTTGTTAGACAAGCTCTGAAAACAGTTTTCTGGTTTTTTGCTTTTTTTTTTTTTTTAATCTTGAAAATAGTTTTTTCATCTCAGCTGTAATAAAAGTTATGGCTTTTGAGTTAGAAGTTTGTTGAAAGTTTTCTTAAATATTGAAAGTTTTCTTAAATATAAGACTTTCTCTTCTGGAGAGATAGAATTTAAATTATTTTGGTAGCTTGAAGTGCTTTGGTTGCTTGATAAGTGAAGCTTGATAAATGTTTACTGATATCCGCAATATTAAACATGGGAACAGAATGCAGCCATATTCTGAAATTTTTAGCATCTTCTACCTTCAGTATAAGTTTAGTTTCACTAAGGGTAGAAAAAAGTAAAACTTCAAGACTTATCCCAGTACAATGAATTTTAAAGTAAAGACCCCTTAAGCCCTAATCTTTTCAGCATTTTAAATGTGTTATATGATTAAGTTTTAAATCCTGTAATAGACTTTAATACATATATTAATGAAATTATATTCAGGATACAATTTATCAGTAAATGTAAGACTGCAGTGTATAACAGCTCTAATGTCCATGCACAGAAGTAAATATAAATGATAAAAATCATCATATGTATTATAGCAAAGGTTTTTGCAAAATTTGAATAGATAGTATCCCCAAATAATGTATTTATGGACAGGATAGTTTGGGGGAAAAGACTTTCTCAGTTTACATGTCGTCAACATAGGCTCAGTCCTATAGAAGTGTTAAGATTTTTGTTTTACTACTTTTAAGATGCTGCTATTTTTACATTTCAAGAAAAAATTGTGCAATTTCAGATATAAAAGGGCAATTGTGATAAGAAGCTTTACTTATAACAGAATATATTATGTGTAAGAATGAGATAAAATATTTTATTTTAACTTTTTAAGGAATGGCTAAGTAACTGGCTAAATAACCTGCGCACCTTTTGCAAGTTACAATCTCTTTTCTTTAGTTGGTGGAAGAAACATGGTCTCGTCTCAAGGAACCAAATGATGCTTTCAGTCATTTGTTAACATGAGTTCTTTTTTTTCTTTCAAATGACCGCTTCTTAAATGGAACAAAATTTTGGGTGGTAAGGGAGTTTTATATCTTTTACGAAAAAATCCTTTTTTATAACCCATATTGATATTCATACACCCCTACCTTTGGATGTTCTGAACTACTCTTTCTCCCTTAAAAAATGTCATGGAATGTCAGCCTAAAGGAGATGTCTAAGTTCTTTTAAATATGTGAAGGGCAATATTTAAAAAAAATGTTATGTATTATATTGTTCCAGTAATCAACCTCTCAATCTTTTTCTTATGAAATATCATGATTTATATTTGTACTTATCTTCTACGCCTGTACTTATGGGTACAAGCAGTCACAAACTTTGGTCTGAAGTTGAGCTTACCAAGTGGGTGCAGCTATCCAGATCAAGCGTAAGCTTTGGGTACTTACTCAAACAATGAGCATGTTATCTCTATGTGTTTAACCTGGTAACCCAGGGGCTGCCATGCTTTTGCTCCTACACATTTTTATATCAATAGAAAACTTGGACTGGACAAAGAATGTATAATCAAGCATTACTTGTAGCCATATAAAATATTGGAAGGTGTTTCTAATGTTACCTTAATTTTGTGTGATGGGAATGCATATAGTTAGATGGACTGAGCCCCACCCAACTCTTACAGGACTTTTACTTCTCGGTCAGTTTGGGCTAGGTTAAATTAGTTAAGTCAAAAGATGCTTCTCCTCTGATTCATTCTCCACCTTTGAACAGAGAGAGGGGAGGAGGTGTTCCTCTCATGATACAGGAGTCATTTGCCAGTTAAGAATTGCTCCTATAGCAAACCAGAAAGATTTGTAAAATGTATCAATAGAAATGTTAAATATCTGGTTAGACTTGGGATTTAACCAAGGAAACAGAGATAAGAATTGTACAAACACAGATGTTTTAGGTACGGTCTTTGTCATCACGATAAACATTTTTTTTAAACTTTTTTTGCGGAGAGAGAGGACAAATCAAATTTAATATATTGGCCAGTATGAATATATTAAGTACCTAGAAATAAATGGACCACTATGTGAAAAATAAACAGTTTAGATCTGTTGTTGATTCAACTTCTAACTTTTTTTTAAATTGAGTTTCAAAGATACAGTTACAGCAAAACATACAAACAAGTTAAAAGCTGTAGTGAATACAGTAGAAGTCATATTGTTTAGTTTCTACTTGCTCTCCCAAGAGGAAAGGTTTAAGAACAAATAGCTGAGTGAAGAATTAGCAAATTATGCTTATTAGTCTTTCCTCTTCTTCCTTCCCCCCAGCCCCCACCATACCTCTCGTGAGTAGTTATCCTCATGTTTAGATGATATCTTAGAGCAGAGTTGCCTTATAATGCTTGTACCAAGATCTAACTAATTTTAACAGATAAAGTATACGGAAACTTCTGATGCTGTGAAAAACATAAGAGTTCCCCTAATCAAAACTTCTTTTAAAACAAATACATTTCTATTTAATAAGGTAGTAATATAATGCTCTGAATGTATGTAGGATGTAATAAAGTAATTGTTCAGTGTACATTAATTTCACCTGAATTTAAATCTGGTGAGTGTAGTCAGATAAGGCACATTTTGAGGTTCAGAACCAGGAGACATCCCTCCTTCCATTTACAGACGAATGAACAGAAAAACCCACAACCCCAAACCCAGACCCTACTATGTATTGGGTGACGGTTTGTTTTTCAGGAGTGTTGTCTTAAGCAGGCTCTTTTACATTCAAGTCTTAATTATCGTTCTGACCATCAGTGTCTATCAAATCCCTTGAAAGTTTTGAGTTTTTCAGTGTGATGATGTGCTAATTGAAGTTGTGGCTTCACATTCTTTGTACAGTTACTTTTTGTGGTGATTCATATCTTTTAGAAAGTGTAAGTAGGGTTTAACCAGAAATCCTTCTCCTCTACCAGAATAGTGTCAGGTATGTACAGTATTAGCAACTTTCTGGAAATATTTAATACTGTTTCTTTCTCTTTCTCAACTATGTTCATTAATATGTTTAACTAAATTCACACCAGAAGCTTAGATTGTGTGTCCGTACACACACGCTGTATATGTGATTTGTGGTGAACAAATGTTTTGTGGCTACTTAATTTCTGACTACAAAGTTCTAATAATATTGGATTTGGGCTTGCTGTGCATAAAGTGTGTCAAACTTCAGCTCCAGACCAGGGGGTGAAGTTGGTCAATTTAATTCCCCAAGATCTGAAGAAGGTCGGTATCATTTCATATAGCCCTGGCAGAGCAGATCATTACCAGACACAAATCTGTTCGTTACATGCCGAGGGTTTATAGCAAAATAAATAGACTGTCATCATAAGTTCAGAAAATTGTGTGTTCGACCCACGATAATGTGTAAAGGGCGTTTAATAGAGTTCAGCATTTATTCGTTATCTATATGCGGACAGAGACGGCAGTAGCGTTATCAGCTTTTTAAAAAAAAAAAAAATTCGGTAGTTTTGTGTGTCACGTGACGTGCCTCTCAGACACACACGCACACGCACACACACTCGCTCTCTGCGGCGCAGTTTTGATTTTAGTCACAGCAGAAGGCTTAACCACAAGAGATTCCACTGGTTCAAACCAGCGTAAACCAGATTTTTTTTTTTTTAGCCTACAAAGGAACAGATTACCTCTTGTATCGAATTCTATATTGAAAAAGGAAAAAAAAAAATCTTTGTTTCAAAAATATGCTGATTATCATAACCTAAAATGGTGGCTGCACACAGCTTAATTCTGTTTGCAGTTGAGCCGTGAGCTCAAAAAATAGTATAAAAATACCAGAAAATATTTAAAAATAGAAAAGTAAAGGTAACGCATTTTCATCAAGAGCATTGTTAAATGGGGGAAAAGTACATCTTTTGTTAATTTGAATGAATATCTTTCAGACAACATTAAAAAAAAAAAACCCCTCTCCCATTACTTAGCTTAGCTGCAAATCCTATGCAGAGCTTAAAGTCAGCCATGCAGCACAAACAAGATAGAACATTTTTGTTTGGGACCTATTGAAAAAACAAATGTGCAGCATTTTAAAACTCTCAGTGATTATAGCAGGGTGGCATGCCCAAATGGACTCTATCGCAGGAGAGTAGTTTTAAACTTTGGCCCTTTAAGTATGATAGTCAACTGAAGGATGGTGGCCTCAGAAAGAAAAGATAGCTATGCGATCAACTCTCAGATCGTCTCTTTCTAAAGAGACTTAATGTTTGCCTTTTTGGGAAAAAAGGCCACGGGGACGGGGCGGGGGGGGGGACGGGGGAAGGTCTGGAGAAAGAGTCCAATTTATGATAGGCCAAGTACTTGAATTTCTGAATTTATGGTTTGGTGGACAGCATGATTTTCTTTCTACCAGATTTTGGCAAAGTTCCTTTATCTTAGGTACTGAAGAGCTGTTTCAGCTTAAATTCATGTAGTAGTAGCCCTCCTAATTATATGTAGCTAGAATCCCATTGTCCATTTTGGTAACAGGATGAGGGATATGTTCAATTTTAGCCCAGCCATATGAAACAATAGGGAATAATGGAAGTTCTTTTGTTTCCTGTCTTGCTGGAGAGACTTTCGTAGTAAACATTCTCAGCTTATATACGTGTTGAAAATTAGTGTTGTAAAACTGTAGGTGAAGCATCAGCATAAGCAGAGATAATGATGTAGCTGTTGTACTTTTGAATTCAACTGGAATTAGTGAGAGAACGGTAATATTTTTGTAAAGAGGCACTCCTATGCAGACATTTGTTGTAACTGTAGTTTTTGTTCCAGTACAAATAATTGATCTGTCTCTCTAAATGGAGAGCACACTGGAACATAGCTTGATATTCAGACTGGGTTTTATTACATTTTATAGTAAAGCTGCCAGAGCAGCATTATTAATTGTGTTAGATTTACAAGCATATGTTTAAATAAAATTACACATGCACACCACACACACACACACTCTATAGTGGTCTAGGATTAAGAACCTGGAATAAGCCTTTTCTGAGGGAAATCATGTTTCATGTTGGTCCCTATTCCTTTGTCTGTTATTAGATATACTAGGCAATAAATCAAAATTCTGAGCCCTTTAACTAAGCTGCTTCATTGTAACTGAAAAAACATTGCTGTATCAGGTTCAATCATAAAAAAAGATAATATACTTACGTTACAACTAAGGTATATAAAAATTGGTATACTGGTGACATGCTATAAAGATGCAGTCATCTATTAATAAGCTAGATGTGCTAGTAAAATGAGAAATCAGTTGTCACAACTAAAATATACAGAAAACATTCTGAAAACTTGTATATACAAAACCACTTCAGCTGTACAATCTTCGAAGAGAGGAATAGTAAACTTGTTTTTTTCTTTATAATATAGACTTCTATGAAGTCATTCCCCTTTATTTCATGATGGTGTCTTAGATGTAGTTTAAAAGAGAATTTCACACTATTCTCTTTGTTTAATGTGACAGTGTGAGAAAGTGATCTTTATTCGTTCAAAAAACTCTGCATGTAGTCTATGTTTAGGTTCTTTTAATGTGTTTGTCTGTGATTTTTAAATGCTAAACATGTAAACAGATAAATTGTCAATGTTAATTCTGTATCCTGTCACACAACTGATCTTTCTTTCCTGCCATTTCTTTCCTTTTTATCTTTTTTGTGCGTTCATGTTGCAGTTGATAAAATTACGTGAAGAGGTGAGTACTTTCTTGCTTTTTGTTGTCTAGCTTTCCCTTTAAAGCTGAGTTTCTAAATCTGAAGTAGATCTTTTTGTTCATTGTTGCAGGAAATCTACACAAAGCAAAAATATTGATTAGATTGCTTTAAAATATTCACTGTTGTGCCTCTTTTTTCCTAATAATTGTATACTTACATGGGAATCTCTAGATCAAACCTTGGAAATTAACATTCTTTGATAGTGGAATTTTTTTAAAGGCACTAGAAAAAGAAGAAGAAAAAACCCTATTATTTGATCTCTGCTAGAATACCATGATCAAATCAGGTACAGTAATAATCTTGTTTGCATCACAAAATCCTTGATAGGGTAAACACATTTGTACCCTGGTATATAAAGTGAAAGCATTGCTTTGGTAAAAACCTATGCTGAAACACTATAAAAATTACACAGCATTTCATGCTGCTTTGAATTAGGTGTGAGCTATTGAAATAGCTGATGTATTATTTTGGTTACTGTATACCCACTGAAAATACAGGTAGACCTATGCACACATATCAATATTTATTATTTATTTGTGCACGCTGCAGATCTGTAGGTGTAACACTAGAGATCAGTATTCCAGAACACCTTTCTTTCAGTTAGGAAATGATTCATAAATATTTAGAGGAAGAAGTCTGCTTTAACGGTCAGTTCCTCAAATGCTTCAGTATATTTTCTGAAGTTAATATCCTCTGTTACTTACTGCTGTAGCAAAACAGGCATTTGAACTGCTTTCTTTATTATTTCCCTATAGCCACCAAAAATAAGGTCTCAGTAAAGTCCACATTACTTATAGATAGAATTTCTGAAGGGTTCTATATGGAGGGTTTTAACTAGTGAAGTATTTAAACAAATATATTTAGAAGCATGAATATTTTAACATGGCATAATATTGGAGCTGCAGGGTAAAATAGTTTAAAAATTAAACAAAATAAATTGTAACCTCATGAAAGCCCTCCCACCACTGCTGAGGTCCCCTCCCTAATATTTTCATAGTCTCAGTATTTAAGCAGAAGACAGTATTGTTGCAAGGGGTTGTGCAGCCTGATTTCTGAGATTACTTTTGGAAGAACAAGGCTCTTTTGCTCACCCCGTAACAATACCTGCAAGTCTGCTCCTGTGCTTGTGTAGAAGAATGTAGTAGGATTATTTTTGCTCGCAAACAGTGATTGCAATTTTATAAAAATAAGCACTCCTAATTTCTGAATTATTCTGAAAATCCAATTGAATATAATGAACAAAGCTGCCGCTTAACTACTTTTCTTTTTGAAATAGCTCTACAGACAGATAGGAAAATTCAGAACGTTGCTGCAAAGGGCTGTGACTTGGGAGCTGTACTGTACTCATCCGTCAAATCTTTTGGAGCTTACAAATCCTCTCTGCCATCTACCTGAAATTTTGACACTGATGATAATTTTCTTGTTTTTGCTTTTTCCTTTTTAGCTCCATAAGTTACTTTTCTCATTCTGCATACTTTGAGAGCCAGTAGCAAGTAGAACTAAATAAAGGGATTCGTCATTTTGTCTAGATCAAAATTGGAAAAGGAGAGAGGGAAATAATACAGAAAACAACTGTTAGCATTCTCTGTACTTGGGTGCCCACTGCATATTGTAATTGTAATGGTGTTTTTATACTGTGTGCAAAATGCGCATTAAAGTTTAAATGAAGGTTAGTACAGTGACTCAGGCATAATTCTTAGCTCGTCACATAGTGAAACATCAAGGCATCCCCAATTATAGTTCTCCTAAGGAGGTATGAACTGATCTTAAAAGAAATTGTGGTTTGCCATACTGTTTGTTAATAAAACCTAAGCTTCCTTTCATTACAAGGCTCTGTTCTGACACGCATGCAGCACACCGAATTCTGTGGCGGCTGCGTCGCTCTGTCTTTCTAGTTTCTGAGATCTCAGTTTGAATCCAGCCCACATGGAAAGACTAAATCTCTAGCGATAGCGTGCCACTTTGCAAAACTTCCTTCTATAACTCCAGATAGAGGCTGTTTCTGAAGCTACAAGATGCACTGAATCACCTCGCTCCCACCTCACAAAGAGTAGGGGATGCCGTGGGAGAAGGGGTTTGGGGGGGGGGGGTAGGAAGCAGTTGAAAGCGTCAGCTGCTACTGTAGTGCATTGATTTCATGACCAAAGGACGGTGTGCGTCCGAAACCAAACAATGTAAATAACACCATCACTTATGA